TCAAGAATAACCTTAAACTGTAATCACAGGCATGTCAAATAAAAACAGTGAAAGTCCAATCTCTGAATGAGTGAAGCAGAACTGGTCAGTATGACATCTCAGGTCAAAATCTCCCCTCACCCCTTTTCTCAATTTCTGCAAGTCTGAATCAGCTTAGAAATTCTAAAGTAAATGATCAAAAAAAGCATTAGACTGAGCATTCACTCAAATGACCTTACTACAGGAATGGAGACAATCATGTATGCAAAGTCTTTAGGGGTATGGATTTCTTTTTTTTTTTTAAGAGAGAGAGAGAGGAGAGAGAAGTTTTTTTTTTTTTTTTTAGTCTTCGGCAGACACATCTTTGTTTGTATGTGGTGCTGAGAATCGAACCCGGACCACATGCCAGGCGAGTGCGCTACCGCTTGAGCCACATCCTCAGCCCGGGTATAGATTTCTAATGCACTTATTACAAGTACACATCCCTGGACCACACCCAAGAACTCCTGAATCAAGTTTCAGAGTTTGGGGCCTAGAAATCTACATTTTTTAAAATATTTTTTTGGTTGTAGATGGACATGATAACTTTATTTCACTTATTTATTTTTATGTGGTGCTGAGGATCAAACCCTGTGCTTCATGCATGCTAGGCAAGCACTACCACTGAGCTACAACCCCAGCTGCAGAAATCTACTTTTTTAATACTTTCCCAAATATTCATTTTACACAGCAAAGTATGAGAACTTCTATGAGGAGACTGAATCCCACAAGACTGTCTTGACTTATTTTGTAAATTCCCAGCATACAGATTATTGACAATTAATTTAATACAAAATTCATATCCATCTCCCACCATAAAAACCAAGTACAGCATTTTGTTGATTACTTTTGTGCAAATATGGTTTTCTGAAGTAAGCAGACTAATATTTTATGAGAAATGTTGATAAAACTGGAAACAAATATAAAAAGAACTTTCTAGAAAAACAGTACAAACTAAACAGAGTAGGCCTCACCCTTGTTTTACCTGTTTATGTATTTAAATTGCTTGGCACATGCATAAATAAAGAAGTAAAATCATCCAGAGAGCAGTCCTTTAGTTAACATGACAGTTGAGGTTACAAGTCTAGGACAAAGGGAGAAAGAAGCAGTGGCTGGCTCTAACCACTACAGGCATGAAAGGTGGCTTCCTTGAGGAGGAACATTTGAAGAGAGACCTGAAGGAGGAGGCCATATTGAGAGGGCTGGGGGTGAAGTGTTTGAAGCATAGGGAACTGTAACTGTGATGCACCTGAGGTGAGAACAAGGTTCTAGTGAAATTATGATGGAAATTAAATGATATATACAAAAAGATTTCATAAAATGAAAAACTATTGACAAGTATAAACTATTTTTAGTAAAAAATATTAGGAAAGTTTTAGGACAGAAGCTGGAATAATGTAGAGCCTCAGATCTATGTCATATGAAAAATGAACTAAGCAACTGGGGCTGTAAGTGGATGAAGCAAATAAGATACAAGCATATATTTGGGATGAGGGGGGTGAAATTTTCTGGTATCCGGAGGACTAAGTTCTTAAAGAAGATTTCATTTTAAATTTTACGTAGCTCCAATTTTATGAAATGGGTTAAAATAGTAAAGATTTCAGAAAGGCAAAATTTCACCTCAGTATGGTAATGAACATTCGAAGAAGCTGCCGGCAAATGAACTGGTCAGAGGTGACCAAGAAATCAGCCAGTGGGCAGGGGAACAACTGGATGAGATGCCCCATGGTTGGCCTATACTCCCAGTGACTCTCTCTTTCAAGCACTGTAACTACCAAGAAGGCCTCTCTACTGGGCAATTGACAACATTAAAGGGGATTGAAAAGAGGCATGAGGCGTGCTGAGGAATCCATCATATTCTGTAATAAAATATATATTTCCAAAGGGCAATTAAGAAACAGGATAGACTAATATTCATTTTAAATGGTTAATCTGAAATGGTGTTTGGGGAGTAAACATTAAGCAATCATTTTAACTTATTAAAATAATTACTGTATTTTACCAAAAATGTGTCCAGAGTCCTCTAGGTTCCCTATAGGTGACATGCCAACCAACAGCCAAGACCTTCTACAAACAGGTATGTGTGTTTTGGGTTGGTCTGTTTTTTAATGGGAGCCATGGATATAGAAAGATAGCTTCCACATTAAAAGTCCTGGTAGAGAATTGTTATTCATTATATTTACCTGGACTGTCTAGCAGATAAAGTAAAAAGCAAACAACAATAATAAATCCTAAACTTGGTCCTGATCACCCAGGACCCAAATGCTAAAGAGAATCAAATCTAGTCTTCCAAGAACAGGTAACCAAGAGCTAGACTTGGGAGAAAGACTAGAGAGAATTTTGAAAAACAACACATTTTTTAATGGCCTTTTTACAAAATATTTATATTTCTAATCCAGATATATCTGGTTCATATATAAATATACTTCAAGAAATATTCTCTTAATATCTATGCTTTTGTTTTTATTTATTGTATGAAGTAGGTTTCTTAAAAACTATTTGAAAATAAATGTGTACTAGGACTGTCATAGGGCAGCTTATTTAAAAAGTATGATAAATGTTTCCACAAATAAAGGTCATATCCAACCAGTTTATTCATAAAATTATACCTCACTTTGTGAAAACCAGGAATTCTGAAAGGTAAATTTGCAAAAAATTAAAACAAAAAGTTTAATATTTAATGTAAAGAAAATATTTATCATATTTTTAAATATAAGGACCCCCTCCTAAGATAATAAAGCCTCGGTTATGCCTGCAGTATTTTAGAAACATGTACTCTGTGAAAGTTATAAAACATACAGTATGAAGAAAATCACTTCCTGATTTAATTTTTTTTAGGATCTCATTTTTTAAAGTTCAGATCTGCTATTTTAGTCTTTCAGCATTCTGGATTTGTCCTCAGTGAGCACAGGTGTCTCTGTTCATGAGTAATGCCACCTAATATCACCTGGTAGCCTAGAAACCCAACCCTTAACTAAGTGGGGAGACAGAACTCTTTAGATCAATCATCAGAAGTCCCCAAAGCATCTCAGACAACATTCTCATTTGACTCAAGCACAGAAATCGGCCATGGCCGCAAAACAACAAATGGGACTGGTAAAAAAAAAAAAAAAGACCACATCTCTTGTCCCCAAAGTCCAGTGCGTTCTCTACAACCATACACTACAGGGTCTCCCCTTCACTTGGAAGGTGCCAATTATTGGGCCAACCACTAAGAGAATGGAACCCTGCAAAATACTAACATTAACAACCCAATTGCTAAACACCTTAATAAGATTTGAGTCTTTTTGCCACTCCTTCCCTGTTCCTCATTAGGTGACATGAAATTAGGGATAATTCTGGATTTTCCAAATATTCTTAAAACCCTTTGTTAGAGCATACAGTTCCACCTCTTAGATTAGTGGACATACACATGAACTGTCTCCCAGATGTACCGGTGGGAGGCACCCCATGATGAAAGGGCTCTATGAAGTGGCGCCATCAAACCAAGAGCCTGCTGCAGAGTAGCTCCTCCTCACTGACAGCGAGTCAGAAGTAATTCTCTACCTAAATCAGACCTTAATTCATTAGCCACATTACTTCACAAGTTCAATCCAATTTCTCAAAATGCAATAACACAATCTTCCAACCTGATTATCTTCATTGAAAGTATTTAAAAGCATTTGCCGAGACACATTCCTTTCTGTGTCAGACAAGATCAACATCAAGTGAACAGCTTGGGTAGACTACACTTTGTCTAATTGTAGGGGGTTGACATTTTAGGAAATTATTGTTATTTGCAAGGAAAAAATGTTCTCCTGAAGTGGACACCAAATGGTTCCTCCTGATAGGAGCATAAATTGTGTACTTACTCATAATTGCACTTTAAAAACCAGATTCTCAAGAACATCTTATACATATACTATTGATATTCTACAGAATTGGAAATATTACAATCTGACTTCTATAATAATTTTAACCAGCTGAGAGAAGTTTAGGGCTCAGAGAAGGAATTTTTAAAAATAGACCAATAAGAGATAATTTGTAATGGAAATGCCGTCCCATATCACTACCACTAGGGAAATGATGGCTATTTCCCTAGAAATAATCATGAGGAAACAGCTGGTTTGTTTTGAAGGCATTTCAAGAGCTCATTGACCAAAATCCCCAAAATTTTAGCTAAAAACAATTCAACTGCATTTTCTTTTTTTAATTTATTTTTTAGTTATAGTTGGACACAATCTTTATTTAATTTTTTTTTTTTTTAATGTGGTGCTGAGGATCAAACCCAGGGCCTCTCATATGCTAGGCAAGGGCTCTACCGCTGAGCCATAATCCCAGCCCCTGCATTTTCTTTTGATAATCCAAAAAAATATATATATATCAACCCATATTTTAAAAAAATTTAGATCATTTATTGGGGAAAAAATACATTCTAAAAACATTTTGGGGGTGAATTAGGAAGCAAAAATTACTAAAAGGACAGAAGCTCAATTCTAAGTTTAACTTTAATTATTTCCTAACTTGTAAAATTCATTGCTGCCGTTAGACTTTAGCCCTGTGAGGTGGCCAGTCTTCCTCTAATACTGATCGCTAAACTCATTTAACGTGTGCCCTAGGCCTAAAAAAAATCTACTTCCCAGCTGCAAGAGTCTAATAGCTTAAATTTCTAAAGTAAATGGCATCCTTTGCTCCTTTGAAAACCAACTCTGGCAGTGCTTGAAGTAAAGGAAACTAACCACCTAAGTTTCAACTCTGGAGCATCCAAATTCATGTGTCAGATGCAAACACAGTAATCTATAATAAGGGGAAAAGCCCAAGTCACAGGATCCAGCTCAGGCAACATGACTATAGATATATTTAAAAAGACAGCATCGAGTGACAAGTATATTATTTCACTACATCTGTTGTGACGCATTTATGAGCAAGTACAGACAACATTGCCACTCCACATTCAAGAACCAAAACCACACATAAGCCATGGTCATGGTCAATGCTCTTACCTTATAAACTTGCCCATACGTTCCATTTCCAACAAGTTCCACCAATTCAAAGATCCCTGCAGGGTCCTGGAAAATAAATAAATAAATGAATGAATGAATAAATAAATAAATAAATATTCAAAGCAATATTCCAGGTATTGTTTTAATCAAAAGTAAATATTTGGGGCTGGAGTTGTGGCTCAGTGGTAGAGCACTTGCCTAGCATGTGTGAGGCACTGGGTTCAATTCTCAGCACTGCATATAAATAAATGAATAAAATAAAGGCCTATCAACATCTTTTTAAAAATTTTTAAAAAGCAAACACTTAAAAGAAATAAGTAAGTAATTTCAGTTTGGGGGGGGCTCTCACATGTTAATATTATCAAAATTTCAAATATTTAATTCAGCAGCAACTATGAAGTCAACCAAATTCCATTTTGTTTCTATTTTCCATTTCTCCGAAATGGGTTTAAATCAGACAGAAAGAGGCATTTGTTCTATTAAAACAATATGAAGAATATGTTTCTCATCAGCAAATGAAAATATACTTCCAGGTAAACAATATAAAATGAAAGACTCATCATCCTGAGGCGCTTCCAATTCTTTAGGCTATTTCTCTTGAAATGTCTACACACTGTGGTGAACATTGGAGTGAAGTAGGATGTTCCTGCATCATGGGGCAATCTTACCTAATGAGAGTCAAAAGCTTCCAAAAGAAAATTCTATCAACACACTTAACTCTCTTGGAATGCTATTCTCTGGATTCATCTCCCCTCTCTATAATACTGCCCTTGCCAAACATGCTTTTGCAGTACATGAAGGGTAACCACAGGACTTAGACTACATACTAAATTGGAGAATTATGTGCATTCTTATCACCAAAACAGGTGTCTGCAAACCCTCGGAATCAGTTAAATGTAAAGTGCTTAGTAAATGTCCAATAATTATAGCTATTATTACTGAATTACAATTCCAAACAGTTCAAAAGAAAAAAATCAAAGCCTATAAAATTCAACTCAGAGACAGAAATTGACTTTTACCTCTACTGATTCCTAACTGGAAAGAAATAGCTTCTTTAAAGGTATAAATCAAGTCACAAACTTAAAGGCCTACAAAGGCCAAGCGAGAGAAGCAAATGAGTAAAGTGGCCCCGTTGGGGCGTGAGCCAAACTGGAGAAGTCATGCACCATTAGGTGAGGCTAAGGAAGGGGGGGGGGGGGGGAGTTGACTTAACTGGGATCCAACTCTCATCCTGCCAACACAGTAGCAACTATTCTGCCAAGTCTAATGACATTTAAAAAAAAAAAATTGGTTTAATGTGAGACCTTAATTGTTAAGCACCTAAATTTTAAAAAATGCTCTTAGAGACAAAAAAGACTGCAAATCTTAGCCCATCTTGAGTGAACACACGTGTGAACACTACCATATATTATGGTGGTGGGTGGCCTTGAGGCAGGAGGGAAGCTACCTGAGCTATGGACAGACCTGGGTTGAACGCCAGCTTTGTCCTGGCTGGCTGTAGGAGCCTGGGGGAGCCTGAAGGAGCAACCCTAGTATTTGAGCCTATAAAACAGTGCTGTCCTCCACCTTGCTGAAGCCTTGTGAAGAATAAGTACCAGCACAATGACTCGCACACAGGCGACAATCTATTAACACCTAAGAGTAATCGGCACCAGTAGCCTTTAAATGGGGGAAGTAGGCAAAGAGTCTGATGTAAAAAGAGTCTTTAAATTCAAGGTTCTTGGCTATGTGCCTTTGAAGATTCTATATAAAAAGTAAATGATTTAAAAAAAAAAGAGTAAGCATCTTGTCATGAGGAAATGCTGGAGAGAGCATTACCCACTTTCACAAAGTCTGAAGTGAAAAAGAGCACACTTTGGGCTCATGTCCTTGAAAATCAACAATGCAGAAGGTCCAGTGAGGTCCCACCTGGTCCGGGTAGATGTGGACAATGTTCCATCAGAACCACAACAAGAAAACACTATGAAAGAACCAGACCTCTGAGGCGACCGACACCCCAGAGCTGCAAGACGCAGACAGGGCCACCTGGGAGGCCTCAGGATGGGGAAGAAAAACGTCATTTGTTAAACGACTAGGCCATTAGAGCAGCAGGTTTTATTACAAACAGAATTAGAAAGGAATGAGGAAAAGAAAAAAACAGCCCATAAACGGTGGCAGCTGCTGTTTGTTTCTAAGCTGTGCTTCCCAGTAGTTTGTTTGCTCAGTGGTGTTTCTGCAACATATTTGGAGCGAGGTTCTACATTTGCTTGAAATATCTCAATTGTGCTTTCAACATTTATTTTTCTTGAGTAGAAATAAATGTGAACGAGGAGAAGCAGGATGGGGAGGAGCGGCTGCCTTAAGGAGCCCAATAATCAATCCATCAAGGGTGTGAGGGAGGGCAGGAGCAGGAATAGGTGCAGGCCAGGGATCAGCTTCCACACCCAGGGCTCTCCCCACCTCCTGGATCTCATCAGGGCTGGGGTTCACAGCGGGGTCTCAGGAGGATCTGGACTGATAACTTCCAAAGCCCCTTCTCTCCTCCAATCATCTAGTAATGGGCACATGACCCAGGTAGTCAGAGCCAAGGTAGCTTAATATAGACTTTATTCCACCTGCTAGGAGAGAGGGAGGCATTTTGCTGGACACATCCAAAGGGACAAAGGCTGAAGGAACTAAGGAAGCCCACTGCTAAGTGGCCTTAAGTGGACAACAGCAGTGGAAACGATCATCGTATCAGATTGGTTCTCTGAGAAGCACATGAAGAATCTCTGATTTACAGAGTGAGTTTACTGTGGCATCCTCGGAATCCACACCTGCTGGGGTTGAAGGAGGTAGGACTGGACCATGCAGAGGTAGACTGCACTATAAGGCAGTGGACACACACACTCCACCTGATCCATGGAGGCTCTTGTCCCAACTTTCCAATTACCTAGATCCAAGAACCTGAAGAATGGAATTTTTGCAAATGTTCCTTTACATAAACACATATCACTGTTAGTTATGTTCTTGTGGAGCTCAAACAAGGTGAGCATCCAGCTTTTTTCTCTACTCGAGCAAGACCTCTAAAGTTATATCTCCCAAGGGGAGGGAATGGGGACCAAATTATATTGACCAAATTATATTATGATCTTGTGTGCATGTGTAAATATGTAACAACAAATCTCACTATTATGTATAATTATAATGCACCAGTAACAATAGGGGAAAAGTGGGGGGGGGGGAATTCTCCCAATGGTGGGCCATGACCCCTCAAGTCTTCGGTGTAATGGCCTCTTCTCAGTCTTGTCCTGTTTGCCCCTTTTGAGGCATTCCCCAGCTGAGCACCACTCTTGATGAAAATGGACATCCTCCTCTATCCTCCATCACACCCCTCAGTCTCTCACAGATTGTTTCTTCAACGTAGGCGCCCCTCCAGGTGCCACCCTCGCCACCACCTCCCTCATTTTGTTCAGTACATGCTAATGACCTTCAAATGTCCGCCATGTCCATCTAGTCCACCTCATTCACACAACAGGCCTCACCATTTCTGCGTGGCACTACTTGCTTTCTGTCTGCGCCTACCTCCTTTCAACCTACTCACCACACAAATCCTTCTACTGTACATATTCTAACCCTGACAATCCCTGATTTAAAATTCCATACGTTTCAAATGAAAACTCAAGGTCTTGTCATTCTGAGGCCCCCGCCTCCATTTCCAGACTCAAGTTACACCCAGCTGAGACCTCAGACCAGCTGTTTCCCTGACACCCCACACGAAGCCCTGTGCCTTGGTTATCATAAAGCCCATTTGCTGAGAGAGATCTTTCTTCAGCCATTCTCCAGCAGGCAAGCCCATCCTGTGCAACCTCCTCTGTAGCCTTTCTCCAATCAATGCTACCTCCCTTCTCTCCACCTGCAGCATTTCGTGCTCAGCTCTAGGAAAACTGTTTTCACACGGTGCTGTCCTCTCACACATTTCTCCCCCTTGATGAATTACAAATGCCCTGGGAGCAGAGAATGTCATATTCATCTTCGTAGTTCTCAGCACTTAGCACCATGTCCGACATAAAACTGCTGGACATAATTATTTACTAAATAAGGTTGACGTCCTACTCCCAATTCTCCACGACATATGTAGAGGAAGTTGCCAAAAAAAAGTGGGGGGGAAGGGGGATCACAATGTAGGTCTAAATCACATTTGTGTCATTTCTTTTCAATCTAGACAAGCTGTTCCAGCTGTTCAAGCTGTTCCAGCTGCTGAGCCCCACCCCTCTTACACCAATCCCAGACACAGGGCGCTATCACATGTGTAAGTCCCTCGAGGATTCTCAGCTCCAAAGACATCCATAAAGCTTGTTGGGGGAGTTGGGCCGCATGTGCCTGGAGAAGACAGGCTGTCAGGATGTGGAAGCTGCAGTGCAGCAGGCAGAAGAGCCTGTACCTAATAATCATGTTACATAGACAGGAAAGCTCAGACAAGAGTCAGCTTCATTCTCCCTCTCGTGTTTGCTTAGCTGCTCTAAGCCAGGATGGGCGGCCTGGAAGAATGTTACATCCACCAAGGAGAAAAGAGCAAATCATTGACATTTACCAAAGTCAGGAATCCCTGTTGGCTACACATGCCTTTATTCAGATCTTAACCTTTGCCGGGAGGCCGAGAAGAGATTTAATTCTAAGGTAGAGTAGTTTACATTATTTCATAATGAAATATAACTACATATCCAAAGGCAGGCAGTTCCCTGAAAGAAAATGTTACTTTTCAACAAGCGCTGATAAAGGCAAATGTGGTCAGTCGTGGTAATAAAAATCATAATAGACAACGTTTTATGCCAGGGACAATTATAAGAATTTTCCATGAGTCTTTTATTTCATGATCACAACTCTATCAAATGGATGCTATCATTACCTCTGATTTTACAAGTGAGAAAAATGAGGCATGCAGAGAGTAAACACTTGGTCAAGGTCATGGCACTGAGGAGCAGGAGAGAAGATATAACCTCAGCATGTCAGATTGCAAACTCTGAGCTCCTCACTACATACACTGTCAGTTCCATGGCATCAGAAGTATCAGCTTTGATTTATCCCTCAGTGAGTGATGAATCAAG